CCCACCTGGGCTGTTCCCAACCCTCGTACATTGTCTCTGCCGTTTCCTCCCCCAACCCTTGCCCCACCCTGAGGCCACTCTGTGCCCTTCCCCACTCCCCCACTCCGAACCCTTGTCTGTGCCTCCACCTGGTGCTTCTCAGGCCCTGCCCCCAGGTGGCACAGACCACTGAGGAGACTGCACATGGGGCGGTGGAGGGTGTGTGGAGGAGGGGCGTGTGAGGGGGTTCGCCCAGGTGTCCTTACTAGAATGGGCAGGTGCGGTCAGTGTGGCAGTGATGATCAAGTCCACGTTGACCTCTTGCCTCTTGAGTCCAGAAGGTCAAAGGGACATGTGGCCCATGCAGGGGACCCCTGGTCTGGAGGCCCTGGCTCTGTGATGAAGTAGGGTGACAAGGAAAAATCAGACCAGGTCCTCAGCCCTCCTTGGTCCCATCACTCGGGCCCACACACACCGCCCAGAAGCCAGTCTGAAACGCCCCCACACATCGGCCAAGGGCCCAGCACCCCGACCCGCTGTCCGTGAGCCACCATGCACCTGCCCCAGCGGCCCAGCCCCCCGGGCCGAAGGGTCGGCATCCCCAGCAGTCCTCTCTCAGATGGCAGCTGCCCGGGTGCTTCCAAGACGACGCTTCTCTAACGATGTCTTCTGTGGGTCGTTACATTGCTTCCCCTTCCTGAGCTCCTAGTTGAAGGCCTGCTGGTCCTGCCAGCCGGTTCTCGCGGGAAGTCTGCACAGAGGCCATGTGTTACCTGCCAGCCTGCTTCGGTGACCTTGGTCTTCCCCTCGGCCATCAGGCTGACCTGATGTCGGAGAAGAGCGGCCCACCCCCAGGCATCCCGGGTGCTGCACTCAGCTGTGCTGGGGCGGGAGGGGGTGGCTCTGCTCTTGGTCTCCTGGTTCCTTAATGGTGACGGACAGCGCCAGGAAAGTCTGGGAGGTTACTGAGGGCCCAAGACGGAGCGCGTGGTTAAAGGTGGGGCGCTCTGGGTGTGGAGAGCCAGGTGCTCAGTTGAGAGAGCGTGGGCCCAGCGTACCAGCCGCACCGTGGGGGAGAGACGTGGCTGCCTGCTGTGAAGATGGGGCAACTCAGGAAGAATGTGGCCAGTGTGTGTGGCGAGAATGTCACAATAATAAGCAAGCCCCCACCTGCCCTGCGCAAAGCCAGGGCAAAGGAGGAGGCGGAACCAGCAC